ACCTTCCTTGAAAGACTCTTTTGTACAAACTTGCCATTAAAGAGCTCACCATGCTACTGCAAGAGCAGAAACACAACCTGAGGCTGTGTAAAAGCTTTGCTACGGGCATTAGAGTTATTTATTGAATGACTACTAAAGAAGAGCAGGACCAAAGGCCCCTCTGGAGCAGGGCCAGGGACATGGAAGCAGTATTGAGGCAGCAGACATGGTTTCCTGGCACACTCAGCCATCACCTCTCCCTGCAGCCCTTGTGCCATGTGTCAGACACACAGACCCATGAGCAGGTACTGCTCCAGCTGAGGCCAGCTCTGTGTGCTGCACTGAACATTTCTGGATACCTGTCAGACTGACCAGCTCTGGGATTTTGAATGTGCTGTAGAAGCAAAGTAAATTCCACGTGCAGTCATCCCTTACACAGGATACATTATACAGGCAGACCATGCACCTCTCTGTCCTATGTTCTGGAAGAATGGTTCAGCTGGGCACAGCAGCTAACAGGACCACACACAGCTCTCATCCCTGCTCTGCTTCCCACCTGCCCCACCCTGGCTTGTGTTCCCATCCTGTATCCCTTGAGCTGGGAGTCTCCTGTGCTCTCTCCTCTCTGCCCCAGCAGGCTCTGTCTCCTCAATCTCTTTTTCCATTGAGGGATGCATGTGTGTGATGAGAAGCCTCATCACATCTGGGTTTTGTCCTCTCTGTACACTGGATGTCTTCCTTCCATTTTCTTGCAGTTCTTAAGCTGCTGGAGCAGCCCAGAGCTGCTGGCCAGAGCCAGGCATCTGGGGAACAAGCAACCAAACCCATGTGGGCAAGCCTGGACAGAACTGCTGGGCACAGCTGCTTCCAGCCCAGGCAAGGGTGATGCCACCTTCCCCTCACTTGGAGGACACAGCCACCAGCTGGAAGTAGCTGTTTGTGCCACCCAGTCCCAGCACAGCCTGTTCTGTCCAATGCAGGCAGGGCTGTGATGGTCACATCATGTCACAGGGTTTGGCTGCATGTTGTCACAGGGTTTGTGCTGGGAACAGCCATGAGGCTGGGCTCCTCCTCACACAGCCCTTTAAATGGACCCCATATGTGCCTTATTTTCCAGTTTGCTTTGTCACCATTGAAATTAGTGACTCCCTTCTGCTCCAAAACAGGAAGCAACATATAATGGTATAAAAATTAGGATTTGCCACATGTCATGCTAGGAAATGGAGAAATAGCTCTGATCTCTGTCCCAAGCTCCCAGTCTAGCCAAGATCCTAGAACTGGCTAGAACTAGCGCTGCACTTGTATTATTCCTCCTTCCTTCCCTCCTCTCCCCATCCAAGTGCTTTTCTCAGCCCTCCTGCCTCCACACTCACCAGGTGGCCAGAGGAGCCCATGCAGGTGCTGTGATCCAGAGGCAGGAGCAGCCCTGGAGGCAGGGTGGTGCTGCCTGGAGGAATCAAAAAAAAAAATCAGAGTAAAGGGAAACACAGTGGGAGGCCAGAGGCTCAGCCAAACAAGCAGGGGCACTGAGGCAGTGAGCACTGTCAGAGTACAGCCTGCCTGGTGTGGAGGCTCTGCAGGGCTTCCTGCAGGAAGGCTTTTCTCCAGAAAGCACAGCAAGTAACTCTTCAAGTGAAGGCTACCGATTCCTACAAGAGCCAGAGAACTGCCAGGAAAATGTGAGCTGTGGATCACACTCATCTCCAGATCCAGGCTTTGGGGAGTTCAGAGCTAGGTCTGAATTTCAAGGGCTCCCCAAAGTCATCATTCAAGCCACCCCTGGGCTGGGCAGGGAGGGACCAGGATACAACCCTGCCCTGATCCATCCAACCAGTGCATGGTCTGAGCCTCCACACTCCCTAAAGAACAGGGCTGGCTTCCTTGGTGTCTGCTGTTTGGGCCAAACCATGCACTGAATCAGCTGCTTCTGGAGGAAAAAGTAAAAGAGCAGAAAGCCTGAGGTGCACTGGAACCTGTTATCCACCAGCTGGGCAGCTGGAACCCTGCAGCACCCACATGACCAAGGGGGCAGAGATGCACAGTACAGAAACTCCACTGCACAGTCCCTGCTCTCCAGACACCCCAGCCCTGCCTCCCACAGCTGCATTTCAATATCAACCTTCCATTTTCCTGAACAAGTCCATGCAACAGGGAACAACAACAAAACAAATCTTGTGCAATTTTTTTTTTAAAACCAAAAATAAATTACTCTTAAACTGCAAACAAACACTGTATTTCCATCTCTTGGTCATGTGTTTATTTTCCTGGGGAAATCTTTCTTGTACCTGTGTCCTGGCTGTAGATAAGACACAGGGAGAGCTCAGAGCAGAGGCTGTGCAGTGTCTGCCTGCAGCCAGCTGTGCAGCTTAGAGATTATTTTTTTTAAAGAAACAGCTTAACTTAATCAAGTTAATGGCCTTGCTTTGTTAATGAGCACAGCCAAGCTGCTCTACCCAAGGGCAAGAAGTAGTGGGAAGAACAAAAGGTTTGTGCTGTGGGAGGTGGGCTGCAGGTTTGTTTTTTCTTACAGAGGATCAGCAGCACAGAACTAGTTAACGCCAGTTGGTTTTGATCAGACAAATATTTCATGGTGTCTGCAAGCCTGCTGGGCAGAGCCTTTCCAAATCCTACACGATGGAGCTCTGCCTCCATGATAAAAATAAAAAATAAAAACCTGCTGCTAATCCGGATGAGGCACCAAGCTGGCCCTTGCCCACAAAGCTGAGGCTCCGGAAGAGGCTGGGGAAAGAGGAGTGCAGGAGCACAGATGAGCAGCTAGAAATGGCAGAGGCTCACTTCCTGGAGTAAAAAGGAGCTTCTTGCTTCTCTCCAGATGTTGGACACTGGATTTAGGGCAAGGTGTTCTTGGATAGCCTGAGTTGCAAGGGGAAAGGATAGTTCCAGGGTCCTAGGTTAGAGATATGCAGTGGCTGAGGTGAAGTTTAGCATCCTGGAGTAGCCTAAAGATTGAAGGGAAGCAAAAATGCCCATTAAATTGCTCTGTGGTGGAAAAATTGGATCCTCACTTACCATTCCACTATTTATTCAGCCTACAAAGCACAGAGCAGTGACCAAAAGTAACTGCACTGCTTTCCAACCAAGTGTCCAGTGCAGGAAGACACTTCAGGCTTCTCTCCAAATCACAACAACACAGAAACACAGTATCTTTGGGAAAAGGCATCCTCTCCCTCCTCTTCATGGGGGAATACAGGTAAAAACATTTCTCTGGGGTCCCAGAAACAGCAGATGTATCACAACAGATGGGTCCTGGCTGGTAGGATCCAGCTACAGGACAATCCTCATCAACACAGCAATGCCAAAGCAGTGAGGATCCTTATGGGATTCAAATTCTGCCCTAGTTGTGTTGCAAATCAGTATATAAACTTTTAGGTGATCTCGGAGCAAGGCAGGGGTTTTCAGAATGTGTTGGCCCTCCAACATCACTGTTACAGGGCCACATACTATGGCAAAACAAGGGTAGCAAAGGGATATGACATTTTTATGGCACTACCCCAACCATCCTAAGCCTCAAAACCAGAACAGCCAGTCCCTCAAGGCAAACAAACTGCATTATCTGAGCAGTCCCAGCCTCCCCGGCTGTAGCACAAGCTCTAGTTAACCCCAAAAAGGTCCTTTCCCTCCAGCAGAGGCCAGCTGGATACCGGGAAGTCTCTCCTGCCTGAAGAGACGATGCCATCCTGTGGCTGTTCGGGAATATTGACTTTCTGCAGCGCTTTTCCAGCAGATCTCTGCCCTTCCTGGTGAGAGAGGAACATTAGGAGGACTAATCTCACAGACGGATCCTCCTCAGAAATTGCAAATAAGGTGCCTCATGTGCCTTTAGCTCAAAAACAAAACTTAAACCACAAAGAGAATACTCCCTGCTCCCAGGGGGGATTCAGCTTTAGGATGGGATTATGTTTTGCTGCTGCACAGGAAAAAGTCACAGGTAACAATCATACCTGCTGTTTTTTAGAGCATACACTTACTTTTAGATAGGCTGTCTGTGAGATTAGTCCTCTCCCTCTCAGCCACCTTCCTGATGACTTCACTGAGCCCTTTAACTGAATAACAAACTGAAATCTGTCCTTGCCTACAGACAAGTGGGCAACAGGGAGAAAACACTTCACAGTAAAGAGCCCTCAATGCTTTCCCATGTCCTTCTCTCATGCTCTTAGCACAGAGTGTGCAAAACACTTCAAGTGCAACTTTCCTTTCCACTCCTCTCACCATTAGTCTCCTCCTTCCCCCAAACCAGGGCTTGGATAGCCTAACACAGCTCAGATGAGTCTCTGCTCACCTGCCCACCCAAGAGGCACAGCCCTGAAAGTACTCTGAAGAATTCAGTCCTCACCTGTGAGACACAACGCTCTGGCCGGCTCTCCTCAGCCAGGTCCTAGCAAGCACAGGTCAGTTAAGCACTTCACAAAGCAAGTCACAAAGACAGCACAATCCCCTTTTTTTTCTTTTTTTTTTTTGGATTTGGTTTTTGGTTTTGGAGCAGACCCCAAAGACCTAATCTGCAAAGTCCCACTCCAGACCTGGGTAATACTTCCATTTCATGCAAAATGCTTAAATAGGAAGAAAAACAATTCTACCACCCAAAGCAAAGAACAAAAATATTTAAGACCTTCTTTATTTGTGATGTGATTACTTTCTGCAAAGTCTGGGAAGGATTCTTTAAAATGTATTACTCAGCTTAGCACTGCAATAGAAAAGGCCATTAAGACATGGGACAACCATGTCCCAGTGTGGCCAGACAAGGAAGCCTTTGAGCAAGCAGCATTTGGTTAGCTCATACGTCTTCCCTGGCTGGAGCTGGCTGTCCAAAATTTTAATATCTTCTCAGGGGAAAAAAAAAAAAAAAAAAAAAAAAAAACCACAAAACCAAAAACCCTCACCTCTTACGGCTGTGAGTAAAAAAAAAAAAAAAAAAAAAAATTAAAAAGGCAGTCAATTGTGAAACCATGCACTGGGGCACACAGGATTAGTGTAACTCCAAGGGATGCTCATTTTAGAGGTGGATGACAAGTGTTATCATTTCAGCCTCACTACCTGCCACACGGCTGATGAAAAAGCAGAAGGCAGCAGATGGAACAGTCACATAGGGAATTTGGTTAATTGTCTGTAAGCAAGCAGTACAGAGAGGAAGGTCTGGGATGGTGAGCAGAGCCTGGAAGAGAGTGGACCTCACATTCACCGTGTTCTGGGCCTCATCCTGGAGAGCGAACATCAATCTACTACACATCTCCCTTGTATTTTCTTTGGGCTGGGAAAAATGACACAAGCAAAATAGCAAGATTTTAACCAGCAGAGATGTGATACTGGGGGCTGAGGAACCCAGTCTACAGAACACACATGAGTTAATGGGCCTTTCCAGCAGACTGGCAGTGTTTCCCAAAACCCAGTTCTGCAAGAAGAATAGGGAATCTGCCCAGATAATGAGAACTGCAGACCAAAACAGGGAGAAGTCTCAGAAGAGTTCACTCTGATGTAAATTAGGGGGCTATTATTTGTTAGTAGGTTCAAATTTATTTTTGGAAGTCTGAAGTGGATGGCTCCAGAGAAGGACAGAATTAAGAGGAGTCTGCAGCCCAGGCTCCAGAAAGGACAACGTGTTAAGGCTTGTTTGACATAAAGTCCATAGAAGTTGCATGTATTGCATCAAGCAGGTCCTTGTCATGCTTAGCCAACCAGAGTATCTTCAAGGAGGATCCCCCACAAGCCCCCTCTCAGAATCTGGAACATCACCCTCCCAGGAGCTCCAAAGGCTGCCAGCAGGTTGGCCTGCAGATACAGATGTTCCTGGGTGCACATTGGTCAGCTATTGTTTCCTTTGCATTGGAGAAAGCTGTCTGAATCAAACTTTGTTAAGAAAATACTGAAACATTATCTTTGAGTTGTTCTGCAGAGTTCTATTTAAGCCCTGATCTTTTTCCTCTTCTCTGATAAAGACTTCTTCCTCCTCCCCAGGACTGGCTCATTACTGGAAGACTGAGGACAGATAAAAGAGATGGAGAATTCATGTCCTTTCCATGACTCCCAGTTCACACCCTGGGAAAAGACCAAGACATTTCTCTTACTGAAGTGCCCAGACCAGGTGCTAGGAGTCTACCACTGCCCACCTCAAATACCATTTAACCCTCCAATAACCAGAGACTTTAACTATAATCAGTCTTTCAGACACTATTAACATAGATCAAACCTCTGTCTAGCTTGGAACACAACAGGACTGAGCCACCTTCAATCCAAATTAAGCCTGTACAGTGAGATGTACCCCAAGGTGTGCACTAAAACCCAAGGGAAAGGCTACATCAGACAGCAAGGAAGCATCCCAGTATGGTTCCTAGTGAGTGCTCCTTTAGGTGTTCCCCTCAGAGACCAAGACAGCTCCACCTCAAGGATCTCTGCCCACAAGAAGCAGAGAACCATGAGCTCAGGTCCTCTGGATCCAGCGAGGAGAGAGTGAGAGCTGTAAGTTTTGTTATTAATCATTTTGCTTTCTAATGAATGAGTTGGAGGGCAATCCCTCCTGCTCCAAGGAAAGACAGGAAGGGAACACAGCTCTGTGTGTTTGTTTTCTCCAGGCTATGGAGAGATAATCATCACACCAGCTCTGGTGCTCACCTCACAGTGACTGCTCTCCTCAGGTCTCGCTTTGAGCTTTCCCAGGTGGAGTGCTTGTGCCACCATGCACTGTGGTGTGTCAGGGCACAGCTGCTTAGAGCCACATCATTGTCCCCTTCCCATGTTGTGAACTTCCAGCCACTGTGGTAGGTCCTTGCATTCCCTAAAAGAAGAGATCAAAGACACAGTTAAGTTACTACAGCTGCTCAGCCTGAGGGCTTATTCGCCCTTCAGGTGGGACACAGCAGGCCTGGCAGGGGAAAGCCACAGCACAGGATAGGTGTGCCCACAAATCTCTAAATCTCTACTAGAGGGGTGGATCCTCCCAACTAAAAATATAAACCTCCTGGCAAGAGGGTATTAAAGCATAAATGGAAGACTATGGACACAACAAGGATTTAGCAGTGGCAGAAGCCAGCACTGCTGTTGAGCAAACTCCCGTCTGGATAAAAAACGCATTTATTTCCTCTTAGCTGGGAAGCCCCAGACGCTGCTGCCCCATCAGTTTTTTCATAGAAACTTCCCAACTTGCCTTTTCAGGCATTTCCCTGTGTCACAGAGCCCTCTCTTCCCCATGAACAAGCAACTCCTTCTCCTGTGTTCAGCATGAGACAGGAGCACATGGACACACTCTCCTCAGTCTCTCTGAGCTTTTCTTCTCAAAGAGAACCACATCTGATCCATCCTGACCTAAGGAGCTCCCACTCTACTGGCAAGACAAATACCCAGGTGCCAGCATTTGCTTCCCTGTGCAGAGACAGCACCAGTACCAGGCCCTCCCCACCAGCACTGCCTCTGCAATTCCCCATTGACAGCCTAGCTCTGTCCCTGCTTGAGGCAGCCTGGAGGAACTCATAGACAGCACAGACAGATTCTCTGGCTGCCCACAAATCCACACGGAGCTTGTAGATGGAGCTGCTGCTTGTGAGGTTGTGCAGCTTGTCAAGACCCAGAAATAAAGGACAATTACTCTTTAAAGTAGGAAGCATGTTCACCTTAGCAGTCTTAGACTCTCACCCCATGACCATTTTGGTGAAATCAGCTATTTCCTGCCTCCTCCTTCTCTGCTTGAGGCTTCATGACAATTTGCCAAGTTTATGCTGTCTTATCTCAGTTTCTGGTAAGAGACAGAAATATCAGAAGAAACAAACAACCTTAACCAGCACAAGACTGGCTGTGCTGCAATATTATTTTTCCCAGAACATTTAAAGACTCTTGCTCCAAAACTTTGCCCTATTTAATGCTGGATTCTCTGATTCACACACTGCATTTTCTGGCTGCACATAAGCACTGGGACAAATACTTAATTTTACAAATTTTGCAGTTTACTTCCCACAAATCTGAGCACGATCTGAACACTTAGACAAAACAAGCTTAGACAAGATCCACAATACATTTGGGTCTCTAAACTTCACCAAGATCAGAGGGGCATGACAGTAACACACAACCATTTATTTCAGTGGAGAAAATCGTTTATCACCGAAAGGTGAAAAAGCTAATATTTTTTTCTGGTTGTTTAGGGAGATTGCTATCAGAGCACCTCAGGCCTCAGTGCTCCACATTCACACACACTCCCCACCTCAAGGCATCCATGCCTCTGCCTCCAGATTCCTTTAGGTCACTCAGCAGCTCCTGTGTGGCCAGAGCTGAGGTGGATGCTCACAGTACTAGCAATGAGAACACCAACAGGCATCAGCTGAACTGCATTAACTGTACACACACATAACCCCAGCCTGCTGGGTACACCAGCAGCCACTGCCCTCCCTGAGACATGCTACTGCATTCAGGAAGGAGCTGAAACACAGGAGTGCAGCCGAGAGAAAGGAGCCTCAACTAACATTTGTATGATGTCCATGTTATTACATTGATCAAAAAGCAGGAAGAGGAGCAGAGCCCCACTCAGTGTCCCCCTGCCTCTGTCAGTGCGCATGTCACTGGAGGCATTTCTATTCTGCAGTCTGTGTTACAGGCAGAGGAAGCTCACTGTGTGAGCAGAGCAGGAAAAACTGTCCATCAGCAAAGCAGGAGGAGGCACTTCACCTTGGGAAGCTGCTATGGACAAAGGTACTGGACAGAAGCACAGAAAGCACAGCTCCTGCTGTGCCCCCACAGCTGCTGGCCTTCCCCACTGCCTGGGAGGTGGCACAAGGTTATGGTCCCCAAGGGCTGCAAGAGATGGAACTCAACTTCCACAAGAGTAACTCAGGGCCAGCTCCCAAACCTTGAGGAGAGGTCCTCACACATTTCCAAGGAATGTGCAAAAGACTTCTCCTTTGTCAAAGTTTTGTGTAGCTTTTATAGTTTGTAAAGTGAAATGTCTGTCAGTCAAGGCTTATCTCCCTTCAATCTGCTCTCAAGGCAAGATGTTTGTGGTCAGCTGGGAATTCCAGCTCCCAGGTACCAGAGATAACTCACTACAGGACACCTATCTTGGGTTATCTCACCAATTAGCACATTGCTGCAAGGGGGGAAGATGCCCTGAGCTGTTGCACCAGCTGATGGAACAGATAAGCTCTTCTGTGGCAGAGGGGAAGTTCTGCTACACCACTGCATAAATGAAAGACAAACTGCAGTGCAGGTCTTGGGCTGAACTGCAGCTGCCTGAAAATCCACCAGTGGCCTTCACAGCTGGCAAACAGCAGAGTCCTAGGCCAAACACTGCTAACCTTCTACAGATGTGGTTTGGGATGTTGTGTGAGCCCAGCAATTGTCTCAGCTGTGCAGGGCCCAGGAGCTCCTCACATGTCTACCTAGGAATGTCCATCATGCTCCGTTCTGAGGAGCACTCACACATAGGACAGGTTTGGGCTCCATGCCCCAGTCCCAGAGCACAGCTCTCATGTGGCCTGCTGAGAGCCTCCAACTCTGTTCCCCTGCTGCAAATCAAGAATGACTTCACAGGCTTTGTTGCTGTCATGGCTCAGTTTTCTTTAGTAAATACAGGGACACAAAGAAACCAAGAGCTTTACAGTTCAGTCTGTGCTGGATATGGGATACCAGCTCCTTCACCAGCATCAAAGAGTTTTCCAGTCAACAACAGTCATCAAAAAGTGTCTTATGAGGTGCCAACAAGGGGGCTGCAGTACTTCCCTCAAGATAAATCCAATTTTTAAATGTGTTGAAAGTAGCAACATTGGAAGCAGCTTCTCCCTAATCTTCATCCTGTGCTTGCTATATTCTGTATATTTTAGGAACATCTTAAGGAAACAATTTGTTGAGTAAGGTTTTAGTGTCTTTCCAAGTTGTACAGAGGAGGTCCTTGGTGGGCAGTGCTGACCTCCAGGGAAGAGTGCTCCAGCCCTGAAGTACAGCTGAGTTTATATCAAACTATAAAAGAATAATTTATCTCAATTGCCTGCTCTTCAACAAATCTCCCTGGAGGACTATGGGGCCGTTATTGTCTGTCTTTTCTGTGCAAACCAGGCTACAAAAGCCTGGCCCTGAAGAATGCTCTGAGGATAAGCAGAACAAAAATTATAATGCATTAGTGAAATGATGCAGTCACAAAAAGGCCACAGAAAAACACAAGGCCATGCTTTGTCTGTCCTAGATAAATGAGAAAAGTCAAGCAGCTGGCTCCTCCCAGGAAATGCTGCACAGTGTTACTGCTTAAAGCAGATAAAAAGGCAGAGAGGAAGAAATCAAAACACCAAATGTAAGAGCGGGGCCAGTAGCACTGTAGAGCACAGTCCATGCTGTTCAAAATGTGGTAAATTCATTACAACTGAAGAGCACCTTACACCAGGCTCATGAGTTAAGGGTATTCCATTGTCTAATGAACTTGTTCTTCATTTGGGAGAGCTCCAAACAACTGCTTTAAGTGAAACAACCCAGAAACCTCCTCAGACAAGTTCAGTAGACATGTGTCTGCAGCTGGACAGGAGAGGGAGCTAAGAGGTACCAAATCCACCCTAAGAAGCAAGGGATGGCCAGGGCAGCCTCAGAGGCTGCAGCCTCACAGCACTGCCCTTAAAGGAAACTGGCAGTTCCTATGGATGCAGGGGGCCACCGCTGTTTTATTAGACTATCAGATACATTTGGAAAAACAAATGAAATTTGGGAAATGATTGTATGGCTAAAGACCTAAAAGGGGTTTTGCATATCCATAACCCCTTACTTGTTTTTTCTCTCCATCCCCAACTAGTAAATCTAACAGAAGCTTTATCTTTAGCTGCAAACTCTGTTTTCATCATGCAGTGTAAATAACAGCTACTTAAGTGAGTCACCATTTTGATATTTGTGGAGCCAAATCATTTTGTACTGCTGGATACTGTGCAAGGGGGATAAAACAGGTGTGCTGACTGCTTCCATGCCCTGCCATTCTTGGTACTCTGGTAACCATATCTGCACGAGAGCCAAGGTGGCTGAGCTCTGGCAGGGTCAGGCATCCTCTGCCCTGCACTGGGTGAGATGGGCTGCTGCTTTCTGTGAACAGCTCAGGGAAAAGCATGGGTGTCCAAACAGGGCTACTCTTAATATTTCCCCTCATGGGCCCTGCTCATTTCTTCCGCTTCTCATCCTTTATTTCTTGCCAAAGGTGGGCCTGAACTAGCAAGTGTGTGGGGGGGTGCCCAATTCTGAGGTATTTCAGCTGGGGTTTAGGTCTCCTCCTCACAGCTAGGAAAGCAGGGCTCTTTGACAGCAACAAAAGCACAGCCACTGCCCAGGCAGAAACAGAGCTCAGGCAGAATATGCTGTTACTGGCTTCTGCCTTCTGAAGATCACAACATCTTGCCTGAGTTGTTTTGGGAATTAACCAAAAAAAAAACCCCAAATCACCTGCCCAGGATCTGTGAAATGCAGGTCTCTGTCACTTTCAAATACCTTCCACTGTTACAATCTTTTCCCTGTTCCAATTCTCAGATGGAAGCACATCACTAGATTTCAGGAGTCCTAGTTTTATAGCACAAGGCAACAGCCAAAAGTAATGTGGCCCTTTGAGGGCAGCCATACAACCCACGACCTTTACAGAGAACAACTATTTTTGTTTGGTTTATTAGTATTTTTTAATTCACTGAACTACTAAATACATCTTAACAGCCTGAGCAGTGAAGGTCTTGCAGATGCCTCTCAAATTATTGGAATAGCATTTTTTATGCTTCTGGAGCCTCTAAATTCCAGGGCACAAATGCACAACAGCCACAGTGTAATTTACCACACACCAGCTTAGCTGCACTGTGATTTACCACACATTAGCTATGGTAAAAGTTGTGATGTACTAATGTGAGGTACCACCTGCATGTACTAATCTCAGCTCTTTTGTGAGATAAAAACACATTACTTTTCATTGTAATGAAAGATGCTGAGGCTTGTTTGTACCACCCTAGAGCAGCACATGCTGGGAATTGGGAATTTGAATAAATCACAGCTCAGCTCGTTAGCAGTATGAGATGCTCACCTGTGGCAAGAAAAACCAAGCAAATTATTTTCTTGTGTGATATGAAAATCAAGTTTTTTCTTTAGGTCTAATTGCACTGCAGCTGAGCACAGACTGAGCTGCTGTGCTCTTCACTACTGAGCTCCCTGTGTGCTGCAGGAGCTGCCCAGACATCTGCACCAGTGAGAACATGGGCGGGCTCGAGACAATGAACCAGCTTAAAAGTAGGGGATTGACTGATCCCCCTATGTGAGAGCTTCAGACATTCCCAAAAATTCCCCCAAGGCATCTCCTGTTATGTCTAGTCTAATTTATATGCTTAGATGTGTTGGTTAACATCCTGAGTTGAGCACCCCAAATATTCCTCCAGGTAATTTTTGTGAAGAAATGCATGTTTGTCAGTAGTCAGTAGAAACTGTTTCTGTACTCACAGTCACAGATGTATTGCTGAATTGTAAAATTTCATTAACACAGTGGTTCAAGAAGTTTCCCAATCTAGCTGCAGACTCAGCTGCAAACACCCTTCCAATGGAGACTCCCTGTTACCAAAGGACAGTGAGCAAATAAACTGTTTGGGGGATTTGATTTCCCACAGGTTTCTTAATTTATATTATTATCCAAATAAACACATTTTTCCTTTTTAACAAACACTCTGCCATGATTATCTGTCTGAAATGTGTATGAGCCCCCTGTCCTGTTGGGAAATGCTACAACAGTCACCCAAGAAATGCTTGGATATAGTTTTTAAGGCAAGGCATGAATTACACATTCCAGATAGTTATGATGTTTGAGTTTTGGCTGCCGTTCTCTGTACTAACAGTAACTGGTCCTTGCTTTAGAGCCTGTCCACAACAGGACTCAGCCTTAAGCTGAGCTGGAGACCTGTTCAGCCACGCTAGTAAGAATTGCATGGATTTTTCACCTCACTAAAAATGTGTGCAAAGCAGAAGCTTTACCAAAACAAGTAAAACTGAGTAAGGAGTTTGAATTCCACTCAGCTCCCTCCAGTGCTGCTACAGCTCACCTGTCACAGCTCTGGTGCTTGCCTTCTTGCTTCCCTGGCCAGTTGTTGGTGACATTCCATGTCTGGCTTCAGATCCAGAAGGTGATCATGTCATTTTCACTGCCCACCTCTATTTCATTGGTGTCTCCACCAGCCAAGGTGTATCTCCCCATCTACCTGTCTGTTGCAGTAAAGTGGAAAAATTATTTAAAAAAGGCTTCTTAAAATCAAACCTGCTCTCCTGGAATCAGTGGCTGGCCTTGTCAAGCTAGCACTTGGCAAGTTCCCCTGTGAAAGGAATCCTAATGGGAGCAGCTCGTTATCATAACAATCTATTCCTGGGTGAAAAATCTGTATAAACTGTTTTTATACTGTTAGAAAAATGAAAACTGTCTGTCACAAACTGTCCCTGCACATAGACACCAAGAGTTTGAGTGACCAATCAATACAGAATAACAATTTGTTACTAACCAATAATTGGTAAGAAAGCCACTGACCAATTGGAATCCCACCCAAGGTCTGTAAAAGTGTATAAAAAGGAGTTAGGTGAATAAAGAATGGGCTTTTTCCACCAAGAAGAAAATGGAGTCTGTGTGATTTATTCCCATACCTGTCTAAGGGAGCCTCCATCTTATTCCATGAGCCAGTGGTGGTATCTTCTGTCACTCAGTTGGCTGTCACATTGGTTGGGCTAATGACTCCTGAGACAGCATTTCGAAGTGCAGGATTAGCTATCTCCAGTTGAATTAAACCCCTAAAACACCTGTCATGGCATGTTAGAAAGAAATTCTTCCCTGGAATGGGTTGCCCCGAGAAGCTGTGGCTGCTGCCTCGCCCCTGGAATTGTCCAAGGTCAGGTTGGATGGGGCTTGGAGCAACCTGGGCTAGTGGAATGTGTCCTTGCCCATGGCAGGGGTTGGGTTAGATGATGTTTAAGGTCCCTTCAAACTCAAGCTGTTACATGTACATATTTTCCTCATTTTTGCCTTACTGCTTTGGACAGCAAAACCACTCAGGTTTCCCCCAACAGCCTTTGCAGAAAGGAAACCAGGAGAAAGAACAATGTTCTGCCATTTAGAAGAAGCTCTCAATTTCTTTCTGCGGGCAGAGCTTGCAGGCTACCTGTGTCACCTTCTATAGATATCAACTTGAGGATTACCTAGATGCCTTAAAGATCTAGAAATAAAACAACACATTTTGAGACTGTTAATATAAAAGCTAGTCTTTAATTGGAGGCCTCCAGGGGCAAGTATGGAAAAATGCTCACCTCACATAGGGTGAAAACAGTTTTATAATTTTAACAAATTAGCATAATTACAAGAATCACCAATTAGAAACACAGGTGATAAGGCAATTCTCTCCCTTGCTTCAAACTCTTCTGGAGCCCCTCTTATTCCAGTTGTTTATAGGAAAGTATCTTGGGAGAATAGCTCATCCTTGGCTCCCAGAGGAAGCAAAATTAGGACTGGGGCCTTTGGAAGGCTTTTTGTCTTTCTGTCTATTGGAGTAGGAAAAATTCAGGAGATAGCCAGGAGCTATATAGCTATACAGCAACAGTCTACAGAGCTACAAATAAATGAAGAATATATAAAAGCAAAAATCATTTTGGCATCGGCCTTCTGCCCAGCTCCAAGTACAGTGCCTACCCTTCCTCTGCCTGCACTGCCAGCCATCTGCTGCTCCTCCCTTTCTGCCTTCCCTGCAGACCTGTCTCAGACTCCCTCAGGTTCTGCTATTTTAGCTGATGAATCAGAGCTCAGTGGCAGCTCTTGAAGGAGCTGGTATTTGCTTATTTGCATCTCCTAAGTTCCAGGGGTTTACATAAGAATATGAGAACTGGGGTTATTATTTTCCTTTTTTAGGGAGCTTTGCAGCCCCCATGTCTGTCAAGAACACCTTGAAAACACAAGTCAAGTGTGTTCCACAAAATCAAGAGTTTACACAGGACAGAAGAATAGCCTTAAAATATCAATGTGGAGGTTGTAGGTTCTACCTGCTCCTACCTGTACTTGCTTCTAGATGCTTGGGCTCACTGGCAATCCCCTTCACATGTGATGGAAGTGTGACAATGTACGTAGTGCCAGGGTGGAATCTCACAATCTCATAGCTGAGCTGCTCTTTGGGCACATGGATTTGTTTCACCAACATTTCATACCCAGCTGGATAATCAGGAGGTAATTATCCACATCAGGTCCATGATCTCAGCTGACACCCAGGGAGTTCTCCATGGAGTTCAGCACCTGTGTGTTCTGGGGAGAAAGGAACTAAAAGAGAAACAAAGAAAAACATTGCAATGAAGATCGTCTTGCCACATGGCCAAGCATGCATTGTTTTCAAACTTATTCTGACTAAGAAAATGCAGAACACTAGAGTTCCCAGCCTGTAGTCATCTTGGATTTATCCATTTCTTTCTGCTCAATAGTATATCATTAGATAGAAATAAATAATGCAGCCAGTAATACATATAATTTCCTGGATGACTCTTTCCAGCTTCTAAACCCACACTAGCATGAGGAAATCTTTCCCATAAAGCTCTCCCTTACCAATGCATCTAGGAAGAGAAAGACAAGCCTAACCCCTCTTCTATTATAACTACCAGAGTTAATTAAAAATGTCAACTGATTCCCAACACTGGAGAATGCAGCTTCTCCACAGCGGAGGCAGAAAGCTGAGCTTTTCTGACTGAGTGCTGATGGAAACTTATATTTGGTGCCCAGAGGACACCTGGGCAAATCTGCTGCACATAAGGCATTTCAGGGCACCAACAATACCTCAACAACACCATATTAGGGAGGAATACCTCAACTGTTTTGTCATGAGACAGCTCCTTGGGGTCTTGAAGCAGACCTTGAAAGCAGTCCATACAGAATACCTGTTTACCATCAAGTTTTCCTGATTTTAATTACAACTGAGCTCATCCTAAGCTGATCAAACAATCTATCAGCTGTATTTCATAAGCAAGTTTTGTGGTTTGACACAGGCACTCAAGGAAGTTGCTCATTCACCTTCTGCTATAGCAGGGCAGAAAAGAGAAAAAATTTAAACAAAGGGTTCATGACTTGAAAGAAGGACCAGAAGAAAACACTCCAAGGGCAAAACAGGCTCAACTTAAAATGAGAGTACTAACAAAATCAGAGGAAGATAATGAGAAGTAAAATAAGCCCTTAAAACACCTTTTCTTCCCCCAGCCTCTCCTTCCTTCCCACTGACAGCACAGGGAGACAGAGCACAGGGGTTTTGGTCATTTTGTCACCCAAGGGTTTCTTCTGCTGCTCAGGGAGAGAAGTTGCTTCCAGCTATGCTTTCCCACCCCAACCCATCCTCCCCCTCCAAAGGACACAGAAACTAGCTCCACCTTTCTTTTTCTCCTGTGCAGGCTTCTGAAACAAATCAAATATAAGAGATTGCTTCAGAGCTCTCAACAAATTTATGTCTCAATTCTGCAGATTCTCATCACAGTCCCAAAAAGGAATTTCCCAAAGCTTTGTTTTGTGTGGTTTACGTCCAAACCCCTGGAAATCAGGTCCCCAAACACACAGACACATGCACAAAATCCCTTTGCTCAGCACCTAGTGATTAATAGCATTCTGGGCTGTAACATGATCTTGTGACTTCATGGGAATCACAAATTGAGCTCAACCTTTTCCTGGGCTTAGAGATCATTCCAGAGGAAAAAAACCCTGGACACAAGCATTTCTGTCAAGCATAATGAAAGAGAGCAACCTTTTTGGCTTCCTCATCCTATAATAAAGAGATTTTTTCCCCCTGCTCTTAAAAAGAGTGGGTTTAGCTGACTTTTTGTGGAGAATATAATGTTATACATACAACTAGCAATAACACCATATTAGGGAAGAATGCCTAACAGACAGATCTGCCAAGCACAGAATATTCTCCTAAGGGAAGGGATGAAAGAAACCCTGTTCACATCTTTTCAATTATTGCGGAGGAAAGCACAGGACAATAAAAGCTGGAGAGAATGTGTAATATTTGTGTGAAAGATTCCAACAATCTAACTGCATGTCTTTTTCCAGCCTACAGCCCAATGCTTGAAGATTTAGGGTATCTGCTTAATATCAAGAATTAGAAACAAGCATTCTAAAAAGAAACCCTTCTAAGTTAAACCCTAGCTTCATTAGAGCCAAAGGCAGAATTCCCATTTATATTAGCAAATATGTAGTTTTATACAGTTGAAGGAGAAAACCTGAGAAAGCTTAAGCCCTTCAAAATGGGCTTAATAAAACCCATTAAATACTACTGAACCTTTTGTAATAAAAATAATAATACATGCTCATAATACAGGATTATTGATGTTTGTGTAAGGCTTCAAAATCCTTGGAGGGCATCTGCTCTAAGAAGTCAGAGATAAACTGAGGTTTTCCCTCAAAACAAACAACAGGGATCTCATAGAAATGAAAAATTATTTTCTCTTACCTATCAAGTACTTTCAACTGTCTGGTTCAGAGCCCTTCTGATGCAAGCACCACTTGCCAAGGTAATTTGAGCAACCCAAAACGTGACCATATCCTCTCCTCTCCCCACTCCAGCTGCAAGGCAGCAGTAGTCCCTGCAGGGAGTTTAAGAGTCCAAGGACCAGATGAAAGGAACCAATAGAGGCCTCGGGGCGTTTCCCTCTTGCAAACCACCTAAGGAGCAGGCTGGCTTTGGGAACGATTCCCCTGCTCACATTCCTCTTGCCCATCAGCAGGAAGAACCATGTCCCATTTGTTTCATGCTCTGCTACTAGTCAAAAGCCAGAGAGCCTCTCCAGCTCTGTACATGTCTGCAAGAATCACAGGATGGTTACTGAGACTACCACATCAACAAGCACATTTGTAATATTCATGATGAAGAATTCAGGTGGAGTACATCAGAAAATAAAAATTAGAAAAAAAATTAACTCAGCAGCAGTTAAACACTACATTTATTCAGCGCAATACTTTCAAAAATCCCTCAAGAACTACCCACACGGTTATTTAACAAGGTACATTACTGAGCCCAGTTTTTAGCTGCCAAACCCTCAGATTCTGAACAGTTCCTTTGATTTACTGCAACCAGAAGCTGTGCTGAGGGAGCAGAAGATGGTAGCAGCCTGAGGAATATCAACATCCATCATCAATCCTTGCCAGTCTCAGCTGGGGAAGTGCCAATCACACAGGTGATGCTCTTGAGCAATGAGGGAGTCAGCCCTGGCTGAAGAAGTAGTTCTCCTTTGCATTCTCACCCATTCCTCCTGCATCTGGACCATCTAAAAAACACAAAAGGGGAATATACAAAATATACAGATATATACAAAATATTATATATTAATATATACAGAATATACAAAATATTGTAGAAAAGAATGCATGCTGTAACATTCAAATGCCCTTTGATCACATCTCTTGTACCTGCTCTGCTGATATATATACCAATTAATTTTACCATCTGAAAACATAGCAAGTTACAGACAATTACAGAGAAAAAAGCTTGAAACTCTCCCTTACAAACAGCAGAAAGCTACCACAGTAAGCACCTAGGAAAGCTGCTGACTGCAGCATGGATAATAAAATTTGATTAGCCAGCCAACCTAGCTACTTCTTCCAGATTATTATATAGTTCTGGTCCAGTATAATTTACCAAACATATAAGTAAAACAACTAGCACACACAGAGCAAGAAGGTTGACAAACTGAGAGAACCAGCTTTCTCAAATGACTTTTTGAATGTAGCTAATGAGCTGATACAAACAGAAAACTATGAATTCAGTATCAAAACTGTGATGCATGTTCTCCCTGAAATCAGGAAATATACGTATTTTAAATGCTGCCTAAGTGAAATCCCAGTCAGTGGAACAGGACAGTTTCACTTACTGAACAAGAACAATGGAAGTGGAATTTCCCATTTGTTTTTCTCTGTTTGGGGTTATGAATATTCAGGTTTGGATATTAACAAAAGTTTGAACAACACTCTCAGGCACATAGTGGAATTCTCAGAGTTGTCCTGTGCAGGGCCAGAAGCTTAGCTCGATGATCTTTATGGCTCCCTTCCAATTCAGAATACTCTACGATTCAAAACCCACCAGTAGAACAATCCCCTGCAAACCATAGGTATAAACCTAGGAATTTAGGAACAGTCCTAGGTGATAAACAAGCAAAAGACATCCTTAAGGAACAGAGCTAGCCCAGAGCTGCATGTCCCCAGCAGGACAAGCGGTCAGGACGCTTATGGACGATGGGCTCGCAGACAGACAGGGACCCCACAACAGCGGGGCGACACCTTTGAGTCAATTTTGCTGCTGGGACAATTTCCCTGTCACTTTCACAGCCGCTCCCCTTCAGCCCGGGATAACCCTGCGGCACAGAAGGCCGGACTGCGATGTTCCTGTGGCAGATCCAGCTGCCTCCAATGACGGGAGGTGCCAGTGTGCCCTGACAGCAGCTCTGAGATATACACAGAGCGCAGCCCTCAAGTGCGGCTAGGGTTCTTATCGCAATTCCAGCCGCAGGGGGTTAAAATCCAGGGAATGCACATTGGGAACGCAGCACTGGGAGGAGCCGGGAGCGGCCTGAGGGCGCGCCCTGCCCTGGCTGCGCGCACGCGCGGGGCAGCGACAAGATGGCGGCGGCCGCGCTGTGCTGGGCGCTGAGGGCGGCTCGGCAGGTCAGACCCACTCGCTCCCCTCCGTTCCTCTCACCCTGCTTCCCCGCGTCTCTCTGGGATCCTGTCTGCCCGGCCGAGGCGCCGGGGAACGGGCAGGGGAGATGCGGGCAGTGTTTGACCGCTGCGGGCTCGGCCCTGTCCCCACGGTGCGGGAACATCGTGGGTGCGGTGTTATGTAGCGTTCGGTGTAACTTCTGTCTTTTTGTGAAGAGAACTTGCTAACACTTTATATGACGTTCAGTGTTATATACTAATAGAGTATGGAATCTGGGAAGTATGAAAGCTAATCTGTTACTCGTCAGAGAGAGCAAAGATCGGTGCTGCCCCTCGTGAGGGAGATGTAGACAGCGATGATGTGTAGGAAGTGTAACGTGTGATCCAGGAGTTTCACGATGCTGGCACACAGGAGCCGAGGGAGCGGCTGGAGCCGTGTCAGGGAAGGGTTAGGCTGGATATTAGCGAAAGGTTTTCCCCATGCAGGTGGCCGGGCACTGGATCAGGCTCCCCAGGGAGTGGTGACGGCCCCAAGGCTGCCAGAGCTCAAAGGATGTTTGGGCAACACTTCAGACACATGTTGGGATTGTGGGGGCCTGGCATTGAACTCAATACTTGTCAGTCTTTTCCAACTCTGGATATTCCATGCTTTATTGAAATAACAGTTCATCCTTGACTAGGGTAGACTACGTGCAACAGGCAGGTACCACAAAGTTTATTTTTTCAATCAGGTTCTCCCCTCGTCCTGCCCAAGGCAGGTGCGGAGCTACTACGTGGACTGGAGGATGCTGCGGGACGTCAAGAGAAGGAAGATGGCCTATGAGTACGCAGATGAGAGGCTGCGGATCAACGCCATCCGCAAGAACTCCATCCTGCCCAAGGAGCTGCAGGTACTGCCGGCTGCCTGCACCCAGCCACACGTGGCTCCTGATGCTCTGGTGTGCTCAGGGCCACAGCAGTCACTTTATAGAGCTAAATGGCTGTCCCAGGTCACAGATGTTGTGTTTCCCCAGCTCACAAGCACAGAATCATGTCATATGATAATCTGGAAGAAGTAACTAAATTGGCTGGCTAATGAAATTTTATTATCCATGTGACTTCAGCCTTCTGGGGGTGTTTACAACAACAGCGTGTTCACCTGACTGGAGGTTGTGTGCATAGGTGGAGTTTTTTGAAACCAGTGCTTGTGTAAGCAGCACATATAACACTTAATACAGTGAAATTGCATACACTGCCCTAACATACAATGTCAAACCTATTTTCTTTACTCCAAATAATTCAGGATAATAAACTCTAGATTTATTTTTCCCTATTTAAAAATCTGAATGCCTGATCTAGCCCAAACCACCAATCTGTGCAATTAGAAGTGTTTAATTTTACTTGCCTGATCTACAAGCATATAAAACCTGCATCAGAACAGTTAAAACTGTTTTTTAAAATTGACTGCCCTTCTCTCAGCCTGCCTTACTAAGCACCAAAAACATTTGCACGTATTGGATTATTCCTGTATTTGATCTTGCCATGATACTTAAACATCTTAGGAGAGAAAGAATATGAATTTGCTTTTATATATTGACTTTACCATTCTCGGGCAAGTCTGACTGGTGCTGCATGTCCTTACGAAGCAAAACCAATACAGAAAAAAAGCCCCAAAAGAAGATCCTGTAACACCTTCTAAAGATCCCTTTTACTGAAAGCCTAGCATGCTACCTCAGCAGGCAGTTAATAAACAACATATATTTAAATTCAGTTCATCTGAAAGGACTAACCTGCTGTGCAACAAGGAGAAAGCCAAGTGTGTTTTTGACTAACTAATTCCTGGCTTGAGGTTATTCAGTCTGTAATAAGATTAAATCTTGGGTCTCTTAGAGGGCTAGCCCAGCCTGCAACAGGGACAGACAAGCTGATCTGACAGGTTAAAATTAGTGGCTTGAGATTGTTCTCTCTGTGTAATAGATTAATTTGGGGGTCTCTATGTGGATCAGTTTATATGCACTGTTGGAATGCCCAGAAAGGGTGGGCTGAGTGAGGTGTAAGTTCCCAATTAAATAGCAAAGGTTATTCATGAGGTGGTAGAGAAGTTTAGTCAACAGCTGGATTGTGAGGTCTGGCAGCAAGGCCCCTCTAGCTCCCAGGGAACACAGCTAAACTGTTGTGTTCTGGTCTTGTGTTTTAGGAAGTGGCCGACAAGGAGATCGCTGCCCTGCCGCGGGACAGCTGCCCCGTGAGGATCCGCAACCGCTGCGTGCTCACGTCCCGCCCGCGCGGCGTTAAGCGGCGCTGGAGGCTCAGCAGGATTGTTTTCCGCCACTTTGCTGACCACGCTCAGATGTCCGGTGTACAGAGAGCCATGTGGTAATGATCTGCACGTGCGTGTGCAGTCAGGCAGGTGAAACAAACCGGGCTCATTTGTGTGGGGAATTAAAGCAAGACTGTCCTGCCTCAGAGCCCAGCATCAATGTCAAACTAATAAGGGAAAGAGGAGTTGTGCTGATTCATTAAACTCGCTGGATTACAGCTGGTATCAGCTGACAAACAGCAGCACAACATCACTGAACTGGTTTGTGTCAGAGGCAGTTTGATTGTGAGAAAAAAATCACTATGTGATAGTTGCAGAACTAAGCTGAGGTTTGTGGTATGGGCAATATTAGAAATAAAGACATACAGCACAAGGCTTGTTTAAGCAATTTTTTTGTTGCCATCATACGGTAAGTTCATCATGGTAATTTGGGTAAAAGCATCAGTAAAACTGCACAACAGGACAAAGTGGTATTCTGCTGTGAACAAGGGCAAGCACAGAGTGGAAATAAAACACAGCCTCAAGTTTAGATACTCTTGCTATGCTAACTCAATATATACGTGTATTAACGAGCAGACAACGTGGCTAAAGGACCTGTTACAAACTACACTGTGCTGGTATTTCTCCTGTTCATAGTGCAGTGCTCAGTCCCATGCTTCAAGAACAAGGTGGCAAGGAAGCCCTAGTCCAGACCCTAACAGGAGAGTAATGGCTTCCTTAATTCACAGGTAACAACAAATCTGTCCTTGGGAGACACATGAGAAGGAGGCAGGAAGGACACAATTAGTAACAGGCGTGCTGCTAAGGTCATGTTTGCCCTGTACTCTTCTTCAAAGCACTGCAGTAAAGGGAGGGCAGTGGCTGCTATGTCCTCCCCAGCAGGGGCTGAGAGGTGGCAATGAAAAGGCCAAATACCACTACAGGAAACTGACAGCAACCCATCACACCCAGCTGAGTTATATTTTGGTGTATAAGCCATCTTAATATACTTACTCTCTTACCTTAAAACCCTTTCAAAGTTGGTGGAGAAAGTGGAGCTTATCCCTTGTTTCCTACTGTTCACTGCTGGAGGCAGGGCAAGCTCCCTGTCTCTGGTCTCCTGCTGAAGACTGCAGACTGCATCCTGACTGATGCCATCTCAAAGATGGGCTCACAGCTAGCCCAAGCACTTTGATTTCCAAAATTCATAGTAATAGTAATTAGACAGGAATAGTTTCTGAGAGTAATCATTAAATTTGAATACCACAGGATTAACACCATATTATTTCTGCTTAACTATCAAATGCTTAGATTTCTGCTTTCTTCAGCAGTTCTCCCTTTGTGACATGCTTTATAGTTCAGCACTTTCCCATTTTTAATCAGAAAGTCACCCTGTGACTTTTAATCACCCTGTGAAGTGAGCATGACACTAGCCCCAGCAACCACATGGGTCCAGCTGCCACTGGCAACAGAGGCCTTGACCCATGCTAGTTTAAGATTCCTTTACTTTTACATTCTGTTCTCAGTCTCACAGCACTCCCCACTCCTCTGAGAGGCTTTGGATATATCCCTATGCTTCACTCCTCAGGAAATGCTGAACCACTTGACTGACGGAAATGCTTTATAAGCTATTTTATTTAAATATTTTCTCCAACCTGAAATGAAAAATGACTGTCTTTGCTTGGAAGAAGGTTATGTAAACGATGATCTTTGCAGCACAGCGTGTCTCACATGGAAGATCAATTTTAAGGCGGCCCTTAGAGTGCTTTCAGATATCCATTGGTATGTCCCCTTTGTACTGCTTTTCTCTGCTTTCAACCCAGGCCTTATTGATGGTGCGCTTCATCTCATCGTCCCCTTCCGCATACATCTTCTTTAAAATGTTCATAAGCCCTTCACTAGGATCTGCGGTGTCATAGGCAGCCTTCCTGCAAGACAGATACGTGAGAAGGTCAGGAGTACTCAACAAAAGGAAGGCTGATGTTTGTTTGAAACATCCTGGGAATGGGACTTTTGCTTTGGCAGAGTCTTTAGATCATGGCAGTCTCAGTTGGCTTCCAAGCAGGAAGAATCCTAAGAAACACCCTTAAACCAAGGGCAAGGTGAGTAGAGTATACCTAGAGGTGTCCCATGGGGTGGGACAGTATTTTGATGTGAAGCATTTTGCAATAAACATGACCCTGGAAGCACTCCCAAAATTAACTACAAGAAGCAGAAGTGAAATATAACAGACAGAGAGAGTGCCAATACCTGCTTGTGTTACGTGACAGGTGAATAAAAATGGACAAATGACCACATCAAGCACATTCACAAACGAAAAGGCTTTTTTTCTTCTTCCCATTTTTCAGCTGATCTCCAGAGGTTAACTGAATTCTTAACACACTGCATTTCAAAGCAATTTTCTCCGGTGATGAACACTGCCACCCGCAGTCAGGACCGTGGAGGATTGTGGCCTGTATGACCCGACTATAAATAATGCCCTCCCTATCCCACTTCCCAAAATCCTGTAGGTAGTGCTAGTGCAGTCCAGCTCAACAACACAGCAGATGAAAACAGACCAGCAGAGGGAGCAGTTTCCTCATGCTCAGGGCTAACCATCGGCTGCACAGACCCTGCCGGGGAGCAGCATTTCTGGAGCCCCTCCTTTGACAAACAGTAAATCTTCGGGAATTCTCTGCACAAGATACAGGTTTAACAAAGTGACCCTGTCTCTCCAGAAAACTACATTAATTATCAAGTCACTTCCTCTTAAATCTCCTGTGATGCCATTTGAGTGGAGAAGGCTGTTTTGCCCTGAATTCAGGTACTTATACCTGATCAGTTTTAGCAAATCACCCTAAAACCATGCACAAAATGAATTGTTGTTGGCAGGGACAAAATTCTCAAAAGTGTTCTCATTTTCAAGGTGTCTGTACGTGTAAAATAACATTAAATCATTTTATGATATACATATATATATTTTATAAACTCTCTCGTCCCCAGGTGTTCCCTGCTGTCATTTACCACAGATACCTGTGCCCGTCTAAGCTGCCTGCTGCTCCCAAGCACTTGAAGTATTACAAACTGGCTTGAGACTTCGGGAAACCATCTAAATAAACAAAGACCTGCTTTGCCAAAAGAACACTGGGATTTTTGTGCAGTCACACACAGGTGACAATGATGATTTTGACCAGTAGAGCTGCAGGGGATCTATCCATGTATTTCTATGTAATACACACTTGATCTAAAAACAGTCCCCTCACTAATGTCGATTTTGCAATCAATGCTGCCATCAAAATGCAAATGAATCTTTCATTGGTTGATTCCCTTTAGAATTCTCATTGCAGAGCTTCCCAATCACATATCCTATGATACAGCCTTCATCATTAGCAACAGAACAGTGGAGGAATGGCAGCTACTCATAACTCGTAATTTCTTCCTCTCGTAATTCTACAAATATCAAAAGAAATCCCAACCTAACAATCCTCCAACATCTCAGGGCCTCTCCCCCAATCCCCAGAACAGCTGCACAGACAGTACAGATCTCTCCCAACAGTCCTATAACAACACAGAGAACAGGAAATAGAAAACAAGATGGAGGGTTGAAAAGACACTTACTCTTTCTCTTTGCTTTCTTTTTCCACTTGAGTGAGACAATCCCATTTTTCCTCCCGCTTCTTCTTACACATGACAAGGATCATGTCTGTCTTTATCTGTATGGTGAACAACAGCAAGGCATGAACTCAGAATGCTTCATAAAGGGATGCCAGTCACAATGAGTAAGGTCAGCTTGTAACATAAGCCTCTTCCACACTCACAAATTCCTGAAACATTTCTCTCAGCTATCCATCATTATGTAGCATACAAACTTATAGCATGTACTCAGCCTCAGGGTACAAAGTATTACCTCCACTGTAGACAATTTATATATGTGGTTAATATAATACTAGTACAGTCTTACAGTACCAATACAGAAGAACATAATGTGCTGCAGGAACACAGTTCAGTGATTTGAAGGATGCTCAAGCACTCAGGACTGCCTGGTAAAGAGTGACTACTTTTTCTAGACTTCTCCAAGCATGCCAAGTTGAGGTAGAGGCTCCTCCAATTTATTTCTCCAAGGATAAGAAACTAGTTTTAGGGTATTGCTTAATCTTGCAACATGTTTGCAAGTTACAAAGCCTGTTGACTTGCAACCCTGACCTAAATTTCACAAAGAACTCCTGCCTGCCAAGGGTCTACTGCAGCTTTAGCTTGGCTAAACAAGTACATGACCACTGCTGGCTTTCATACTGTATTAAAAATCACCAGAGCATCACTCTCGTTTATTTCAGCTGGTTTAGTTTCACTCTGTGCTCATTTTGGGCCAATTTGCAATTGAACCAGTAGCTCTTCACAGCTGATGTCACCAAGCACAACAGAGAACTCGCAGGAGGTATGTGACACATCTTAGCCTGGAAAGGGGCCACAAGCAGCAGAGTACAGATATCACCAGCCAGCAGCAGTACAATGTTACCAGCTGTCCAGGTTTTGGCAGGGATAGAGTTAATTTTTCCCTTATAAAATTAACATCCTGCTAGGGTTAAACCACCACGCCAGTGTTGAGTTCTGGAGCAACACACCTTTACTAAGGCAGAGCAGGTTCCAGACTTGGCTTTGGGAATTAAGCCTATTTAAGCTTCCCAAGATTTCAGTCTGCTGACAAATCTCCTAAAATTGCAAAGAATTTCTCAGGGGTATTTGAAAGCACAAAGATGCAAGTGAACACTTGGTGGTATTCTCTGCTTAATTATTTCTGAAATCCTGTTGGTGAGCTACTAAATATCCAGACATGATCTCCTGAAATAGGATTCCAGAGACTAATTCTGCAGTTATGACAATCACAGATTAGAAAGACTCATGTTCACAGTGCAGAGACTTAGCAGCAGAAGGGAGGCACTGAACATTGAACTAGCCAGGCAATGAACAGGATACTCTGTGAGAGCCCTCAGTGACCTCTAGCAGACAAGGTGCACTGACCTTTCTAGAGCTGCCTTCCACTGAGATGGGCTTCAGGAGGTTGTTGAAGGTCATGGTGTAGTTCTTCCCATTCAGATTCTTCACTAGCAGATCAAATGACCTGGATTCAGGAAGTGGAGGGAGGAAAGGCACAAATATTCCAATCATTACATTGTCTGAAAACCGTTTAGCAGGCTGTTCTTTCCTATTTCTTAGGAAAGTAGAGTACTTCTTGGGAAAGCAGGCCAACAGGCTTGAATTACTTTATTCCCAGGCCTCTCAAAAATCTTCAGTTCAATTTTAAGAAATGAAAAGACTCACAACAAATCAAGATCTTCAGGGTCCTTTCTACCGACAAACTTTAAAAACCAGATTTCTTTAATGTTCACCTCAGTTCTATCACCACAAATACCCAGGGCTAACACTATGTGCCCTGTCAATCATGGCGAGGTGCACTTGTAAAATGAAAACACCCTGATACCCTCAAGTGCTACTAAAAGCTAACACATCTGAAGTTTAAAAAAAGGAAAAAAAAGGAGTGGAGCAAAAAAAGGCTAATCCAACTCTCCTGCATTTCAGCGTTCTTGTTGTGCTACAAGATGAACTCACCTCTCTGTGAAATTCACCTGCACATTCTCAGCTGGAAGCTTCTGGACACCATTGAGAGAGATGTAAATCTTAACAAACTTATCTGACTGATCCCAACCTGGAAGTGAAAAAAAGGGATTAAGTTCTTCCTTTTCTCCATAAGCTTCATGCACTCCAACTTCCCCCACAAAGGCCCCTAGAACAACTAGAGTCTTTTCCTTACTGAAGCAATTTTCAGAGTGATAAAAGGAAAACATTAATTATTCAGGAATAACTTGAGAGCAAAAGGAGGTCCCCCCATGTAGCCCTGCTCCCTAATCCCTGCAAATTCTGAGAAAACCCACATATCAGCTCAGGTCAAAAGAGAGCAAACCGGGCTGTGCAGGGGGAGTCAAGCCAGCTGTTTGCTTCTGCTGCAGTTTCCTTGACCCAATTCTTCCCCTACTCCCTGCATCTTGAGCAATTCCCTCTCCTCTCACCTACATGGGGAGCAGAGAAGCCAAAGCTTACTCTTACATTCCTGCTAAACACTAAGCAATGGAAAAATACCAACTGGTACAGCAAGGATACTTAATGCATCCCACCAAACACTATCACACAAACATGATCAACACACATCGGAGTTCAGATGGCAAGTAAACATCTGGTAGCTTTTAAAGTGGCGTCTCCAGTGTGGAATAAACACTGGACATGTGGAATAAACAATTAAGGCGTCACTCTGATGCTAAGTGGCAACTCTAACTCCCAGTAATGCCACCCTGCCATCTCTTCAGAGAGATGCTGGAGCTCCAGAAAAATAATCTTACCATAATTGTTTATTTTCACTGTGTACCCTCCCAGTGATGACTTTTCTTCCTCTGTCACATCTTTTGGCTTCGGTGGAGGCTGATTCTTGATTTCCAGCTCCAGCTTTTGTTTCTCTGCCGCAAGGACATCACGCACCCGCTTCCTAGTGGCTTTCGTGAGCAGCTCTTTAACCTCTTCCAAATCTTTCTGCAACTGGTTCGAAAACAAAGAATCACACGTATACATTAGACACATTCTTTGTGCTCAGGGCTCGCAGCTTTTTATGACAATTTCACGTATTCCAGATGCTGGAATTTCAGCTTTATCAGGTCAGTAGTTTATTTTCCCACTACAATCATTTAAGCACGGAATCATCTCCTCCTCACCCCCTGTCCACTCCGGTAGATATGTACATCCATAAAATCCTAATTCACAGAATGGGTCGGGTCGGAAGGGTGCAACTCCCCTGCTCAACCTCGGCCATCTCAGAGCCTAAGACCGGAAAAGACCTCCAAGACCATCAATTCAGACAAGGTTTAAGCTTTCAGTGCTTAACTCTTCATACATTGGTTCCAGCAGGAACCAACAGCAGCTGGGCGGATGGCACAGCTCCCTCAACACGCACCGCCGCAAGGGGAGACCTCCACAGCCCTCAGCGAACGCGGGGACTGACGGCTCCCGCCTCCCAGCCGGGACCCCACCGCTGCCCCCCGCCCCGGACCCCGCCTGCGCCCGGGGAGCAAAGCCGGGAATCGCCTCACCTCCTCCCGCGCCACGGCCATGGCGGCTCCCCGTGGAACCTCTGGAACCTTCCGGCCGCGGGAAGTGACGCGCGGGCCGGGCCCCGCCCGCTCCGGCCCTGAGGAGGCGGGACCAGGAGCTTCTCCCCCGCCCTGGGTTCTGAGGGTCGGGCGGGACCGGGAGCTTTACCGCCCGCCGAGCCCTGAGGGACGGGCAGGATCAGTTTTCGCACCCGCCGGGCTCTGAGGGACGGGCGGGATCAGGCGCTTCCCCGCCTCCCGGGCTGCTCTGTGTGAGGGGCGACTGAGGCAGGCATGGGCTGGATTTTAGTTTGAATCTCCCCTTCAGTTTTACAGCAGGTGCTCCCGAACTCGTGGCTGTCAAGGTCGTGGATTAAATTTGCAAAATAAAATGTTATTTTCATTCTTCGGGAAAAGAGTATCAAGCTCATGTAGTGGAGGTAAATGGTGGTCGAAGTGGGAGAAACCTCTGTTCCCGGCCTTTAAAGGAAGATGGGCTTATAAACTAAGTGCCCTGTTCTGTGTCTGCTCCTCATTTTCATTACGGTAGAAAAAGACCTTCAAGATCAATTCCAGCAAGATTTAAGCTCAAATTCTAAGATTTCATCAATTAAAAAACAACCAAATCCAGTAGAAGTTGGATGGATGGCACGGTGCCCTCAACACTCACCACCGCAGAGGGAGGCCCCCCAGAACAAATACATAATAAGCTTTCTACAACAAACCCAGAGAGTAAATTACTGTTGGGAAATTGTTCCTGACCTGTAATGTCACAATGTGTACTCTGGGAGTGACTTTGTGAGTAAGAGACTTGGTTATCAAACCATTTGCAAGGAAAATATAGCTTTTATTTATAGAGCATTTGGCGATATGCATGTAAAAACATGCTGGTGTAATGCTACCAAAATTCTCTTCTAAGCATTTTCCTCATCAAAAGAAAAACATGACTGTTTACACTGTTACTAAATCAGCTCAGTGAGCACCAAAAAAAAAAAATTCCTATAGCCCCACTGGGCATTAAAATGTCCTTGGAAGAAAACATTAAGGCAATAGCATTCTTTCCCTCAGCAGGAACATAGAGGGGACAGTGTTTGCCCCCAGATGTCCTTTATAGACAGTGTGCTCCAAGGCAGAACAGAGCCCTTCAGTGCTGAAAAAGTCAATTTCTCCAGAATAAGATGCCAGTTTGATAACACCTGTTTTACCAAACTGAGGAATGCCAGCTCATTTGCTGGTACGTGGGCTTAGGGTCTGGGTTTCTGTCTCTTCTAAAGTGAACGCCCAGGAACTCCTCTATAAAGAGATCTATAGAGGTAGAGAAGGGAGAAGAAATTTGATGAAAATGAATTCATAGAAGTCCTGATGCCAAAGATTTATGTTCAAGTTGGCATTCCCCAAAGTGGTTTTAACAGCTGTTGAACTGAGGTGTTTCTTATAACCCTCTGCTGCAGTGCTTCCGGATCTGCAGTGGAGAAAAATCTGCAAAATGAACTGTGGGTATTCTGAATTTCTATAGGACTATGCATAAGCCTAACCATCTTCAGTAATAGCATTTGGAGACAAGATAGTTGATGTTATCCGAAATACAGTATGGCCAGCTGGAATTTACTTTTAGGTCTTTTTTTAAAATTGATTAAGGGCAGTTGCTTGTCACAGTCTATGTTACAGTTGAGACAGTCAGGATACACAGAGTATTGCCATACAATTTCAGAAGGTTTTATGCATTTGCCCATACAGAGTAACACCTCACCTCATTAGAAGACTTCAAGCATCTGCCCATACAGAATAACATCATATCACTTCAGAGGGCTGCAAGCATCTCCCTTCTTGTTCCTTAGCCCAACCTTTCATCCCCTCATGTTCACACATTGCCCCTGAGTGCCCTCTGTGCCCTTTGGTGGTTGCTCAGTGCCCCGGGCTCTCCATGGCTCATTGCTGTCAGTGCTGCTCACCTGCTGCTCACAGCTGTAACCCACTCTCAATCACCACAAACTGTGTCCCTACAGTTGTTTATTCAAACTACTTCCTTATAATTTTTTTCTGTATAGCAGCAACTGAGAGAAGGAAAAAAGTTTTGGTTTTTAATTTAGCTACTAATCTTTGAGTTTCTCCACACTCAGTTGTGGTCTTATATTATTGTTATGGTCTTATACGTGGTCAAGTGCTCTTATTTTTACCATTTAAATTGATATTGCTTTCTAATTTAAGTTCTGCTTTCTAATTTAAGACTAGAGGAGGAAATGCTTTTGTTAATGTAGAAATGCATTTGAAGTGAGTCTGTAATTTGTTTTTTTCCTTAAGTTTTTTTTTTTAAGTGTTTATTTAGTTTCCTTAAATGATGAGCATTTCTGTACACATGGCACTTCCCCTTGAGTGGCAGCTTCCATGTGGAAGAGTTGTCACTCTTGTCATGTAAAAACAAGCTCCACATAGCTCTCCTTTGCAGGAAGCTGCAGCAGCATCTGGATGCTGCCTGCTCTCCTGACAAGCACTTTGGATACTGATGTGGAAGTAAATCCATACAAAATGTTATGGCTGGTAAATTTAATCTTCAGCTTTTGTCCGTCTTTGCCTTATCTTCCCCTCAAGTGCTGTGTGCTTTTGCTCTTATCTGGGAACAACAGCAGTTCTTCTCTCTTCTCAGTTAATGGAAAATAAATCCTGGAGCAGTTGCTCACATGGAAAAATGGTTTTATAGAGCATTTGGATACTTTTGACTGCGGCACATTCTGCTCTGTGCTGTTCTTGCTCAGCCCTGCCCTCTCTCAGTAGTCACTTGCCAGTTTCTTGCTGTTTCCTTCTGCCCCCTGTGTCTCTTCTGCAGGCACCTCAAGGCTTGTGTACTCCAGGGAAGCACGAAATCCTTAACAACAATTATTATCTCACTGCTGTGTGTCACCAACCTTGAGGAGAAGCATTCTCTGTGCTGGACACCTCTCTGCTGGGTGAGGAGCAGGGTGAGCCCTCAGCTCTCAGGCACAGCCCCCTGTGCACAGGGACATTATCCTAAGAACACGCTGGAATCAGCATGCACCCCCTTTGGACAGCCAAGCTGCCAAGTCACTGTGTACTGGTGCAGCAGAGCTGCTGCTGAGAACTGCGTCAGAAAACCTGACACAGCAGCTGCTTCTTCCTGCAAACACATTTAAGCTGCTGCTTAAGTAAATGGCTTAGGAAAATAAGCACCTTATCCCCAAGTCGTTTTCCATTTCCATTTATTTTACAAGGCATCGTTCACACAATGATAACAAGGTACTGATCCGAACAATTTTGTAACAATTAAAAAAGTAAACATTTGTTGTGACCAGGTACATTGAATTGCACTTTTAATAACAAGCATTACACTTATATTTCCGTTTTGCACTTTATGTAATACATGGATGTGTTACCCAAGTAGTGGTAGTACTGAATGGTTCTCAGCTGGAAAACTTCATATTCATGGAGTCAGAGCTTTGGAGCTGCTCTGTTTTCAGTGTGCTGGAGCGAATCCACCTTAATGGCAGACACAGAGGGAGATGATTATGCTTGATTGGAAATTTTCTGCATTCATATGTCATCTTTTCCCAATTCAAAGAAGCCAGAGCATCTTCTTCCATGGGAAAGTAAGAGTTCCTAAAGCTCAAGAGAGCTCCTGGCACAGCTTTCAAGGGTGCTATAGCAGAATTGCAAACTCAGGGGTTACTGAAAGGCAGGAATTGAGATCTGAAGAAAAATCTGGGAACACCTGCTGTGGTTTGCATCGGTAGTACCATCCATGTATTATATAAAATACAAAAATAAGAGAAACTGTAAGGAAATTAGTACAGCCCAGGATTCTGGTGGTATCAAATGAAATTTATGACACCAAATCCTTTTGATGTATTTATCCCCTTGTCGTTCTGTTTCTTATATACTATTCTATATGCAAGATATAGTTCTCCAAAGATACATATATATATTCCTTTACAGGTTAAATAAAAGCAAGTCACACCAGAATAAGAAAATAATAAAAAGTAATATCCTAATTCTGTACCCATTTTTTGTTTTTCAGGTAAAAATAGCATGAAATACATTCAGTAGCAAAGCCATTGGGACCCAGGAGAAATGGAGAGCCCTGTATTCCTGGAGAATTGGCCTGTATGTGTGAAGTCACAATCCTGAAATAAACTGTGTAGACTGCTGACCTGGGAAGGATCAGGTCTTGATCAATGCTGAGCATTATTTATCCAGTTGCAAATTCATTGCATTTCCCAAAAGCCATCTGTGGATTAGCTCAGTTCTAAAGGCTGCTGTGACCTCCACCTCCCCTAACACCTGAGAGATCCAAACTTGAGTGTTTCATCATGTCTCTCCTTAGTGTTATTACCTGGAAGGAGCTAATGGGACAGTTCCCAGTAGGATATTAGCACAATAGACAGACAAATAAATTAGTTTTAACCTCTGTGTTTGCACATCTGGTGCAGCCCCTTCATCAGGGTCCAGCTGGGACAGGGGGTGCTTGTCAGCCACAGCAATCCCCCAGAGCTGAGGGAACATCTCTGCCCTCTTCACAATCAATAAGACGTGACCCTTACTATAGTTTTCTCTCCAGCAGCTGGAAGAACACCAGCACTGTAAGGTAAGAGTGCTTCTGATATCAAAGCTAAGATGTTTAGGCTTAGGAGATGGGGCAGAAGTTGCCAATTATCCCTGAGTCTAACAGTAAATGAAAATCCTCTGAGTAAATGAAAATCACCTGATTGCAGCTCTCCCACACATACAAGTAGTTTCATGGATTTCACTGCAGCTACTTAGTAGAAGGAAGGGAACAGCCCCACCTTGATCCTGTGAAGAAAGCATGGCATGTGACTGCCAAATGTTGATACTTTAGAGCTAGTAAATGCAGATTTTTATTTACTCCTAAGCTACCACATTCAGTCAATGAGTGACATCAGGACCCGGAAGTCAATGGGGCACTTCATGCTTTGTGAAGGGGCTGAACTCCTGCAGTTCTTGGCTTTTTATCTCCATCTCCCCTTGTAAATGGCTGGCTTTATTTCAAGTTGTTCTTAACACAGTAGCAGAGATGATCATTTATCTTCAAAGAAATTTCAAGGGCCAACTAAGAGAAGTCATTTAAAACACCTAAC